GACACAGACACAGACACACACACGACACTGGCCCAGTTGTTCACCTGTCCATTTCTAGAGAGGAGCACTCCTTTAATTAAAACATTGGAACTGACGAGTGAAGTCAACGCGGGTTTCTGCTGCGGCTACAATGGCATGCTCAAACTGCAGAACTGATCATCTGCTTATTCAGTGCCGCTGCCGCTGCTGCTGGTTCTGACGCACTACGCGGTGGAATTTTGCAACACATGCACAAGTTGTGCCCATTAAGCGCGCCAAATGAGTACACACAGAGGCTTGCACAGCTCGCTACTGTCTCGCTTTCACTGGCGTTCGAGGGTGTGGATCGTCGCCGTCAGTTGCCTGGTTTCACCACTGTCCAGGCAGTGTGTGTGTCTGTCTTCAAGGCTCCCTTCTTCTTCGGAGAACTACCATTAGCACTGTCTACTACGCTGTACACCCCGCGCTTCGGGTTCTTTCTTCTTTGCAGCAGTACGGCATTGCAGTGCTCGCTGCACACACACGAATGCGACACACTCCAGTTTGGCGTTCACTCGACGGCAACAGACAGGCACTGGTCGTCCAGTCAGACAGCACCACCACTGAATGGCTGAAGACTGAAGCCACTGGGCGACTGGATGACTCACTGACACTGCAGTGGCACCAATGGCGCCAGGCGCCAAACAGTAATTCGGGTCCTCGGCAGCTGCTGTCACCCGTTGCTTTTGTGCGATCATGGCGGTTGTTGGTTAGTGGTTGTGCTTCTGTAGCACTAATGTCAGTCGGTGCATGCAGCCGCACAGACAACCAGTCACAGGCGGCATCAGTTGGAGTATATTTATTTACGACCGATACGAGAGGCAATCCACACCGTGGACTCTGGTGGCGTGTCTAACCTGCTGCCTGCTGGCAATCAGAGCCGATAAACGGCAACGGCAACAACGGCAGCAATCACAGTGACTGTGACAAAGGCAGACTGGGGTGTCTGTCTGTCTGTCTGGACCGGTCGCTAACTCTAACTCCTAGCAAACGGTTCGCAGAATGTGACCGGTGGTAATTGAGTTGCCGTTTGCAGATGCACAGGTAATGGTACTGGTAATAGGAGCGCTTGCACAGTGCACAAAGGAAGGCAATGAGGACACTGCAGCAGCAGCACTACAGCGGTAAAGAGCGGCAAAATCCTGAATTGCGAGAATTCCCACAGGCAATATGATTCAATTGTAGGTGTTAACACACACTCACTCACAGTTTACAGCAGTGATAGCGGAGTGGAGCAAAACATCGCCTAGCAAACATCGTCTTCATATGGACATTGGAGATATGGCCGTCTGTGCCTCCTCTGTCTTGCCCAGTGCTTTGCCGCCAGTGCTCTCAGTGTCACATCATCACCACCACCACCACCATCATCATCATCATCCTCGTCATTTATTGCCCTCACTCGGCCAAGCGACTGGACAGCCATGCGACAGCAAGGCCAAAGGCTGCGTGGCCTGAGTGGAAGGTGGGGAGCAGGGGCCAAGCTGAAGTGAGTGGCCACTTCTGGAAGCTTCAGCAGTGACCGGTGAATATGTGAGACAGTGTGCTAATCAATTCAACGGCGGCACAACTTTTGGCGCTTCCATCGCATTGGCTGGTGGCTGCCATCTCTGCACAGTGTGGTGAGACCGCAGTGAGCGCACTGCGCAGGCTCGTGCCACTGCGGCAGTCTCTCTCGCTGCTCACCACACCTAAAAGAGCGATCTCTGCCAACGGCCGTCATTTCCTTTCTGTTGGCCGCTCTGTGCAAGTCACTTCGTCTGAGCAGCTTGTCACCACCGCGACTTGACTCTCCATTCTCAAGTATTCTCCCTATCTCTCTTTCCCTCACCTAACTCAACCGTCATCGAAGATGCGCGAAATCGTCCACATTCAGGCTGGTCAGTGCGGCAACCAGATTGGCTCCAAGTTCTGGGAGGTCATCTCCGACGAGCATGGCATCGACCCTACCGGCACCTATCATGGCGACAGCGATCTCCAGCTGGAGCGCATCAACGTCTACTACAATGAGGCCTCCAACGGCAAGTACGTGCCTCGCGCCGTCCTCGTCGACTTGGAGCCTGGCACCATGGACTCGGTCCGCTCGGGCCCCTTCGGTCAGCTCTACCGGCCTGACAACTACGTCTTCGGCCAGTCTGGTGCCGGCAACAACTGGGCCAAAGGCCACTACACTGAGGGTAAGTGGAGAAGCAGAAGAACAAAGGAGCGAGCGAGAGAAAGAGGAGCGCGCGCGCTTTGAGGCGCCGGCCGGCTTCTTGACGTTGACGCTGTGTAACACTCGTTCTTTCTTCTTTCTCCTCTCAAACAGGCGCTGAACTGGTGGACGCTGTGCTCGATGTCGTTCGCAAGGAAGCCGAGGGCTGCGATTGCCTTCAGGGCTTTCAGATGACTCACTCTCTGGGCGGTGGTACTGGCTCCGGCATGGGCACCCTACTTATCTCGAAGATTCGCGAGGAGTACCCTGACCGCATCATGAACACATTTTCTGTTGTTCCCTCTCCCAAGGTGTCTGACACCGTCGTTGAGCCCTACAACGCCACCCTCTCTGTCCACCAGCTGGTCGAGAACACCGACGAGACTTTTTGCATTGATAACGAAGCCCTCTACGACATCTGCTTCCGCACTCTGAAGCTCACAACGCCCACCTATGGCGATCTTAACCACCTTGTCTCTGTGACCATGTCTGGCGTGACTACCTGCCTCCGCTTCCCTGGCCAACTGAACGCCGATCTGCGCAAACTGGCTGTCAACATGGTGCCCTTCCCTCGCCTGCACTTCTTCATGCCCGGCTTCGCTCCCCTGACCTCGCGTGGATCTCAGCAGTACCGTGCCCTGACTGTGCCCGAGCTGACCCAGCAGATGTTCGACTCGAAGAACATGATGGCCGCCTGCGACCCGCGTCACGGCCGCTACCTGACTGTTGCTGCCATCTTCCGCGGCCGCATGTCCATGAAGGAGGTGGACGAGCAGATGTTGAATGTCCAGAACAAGAACAGCTCGTACTTCGTTGAGTGGATCCCCAACAACGTCAAGACTGCCGTCTGTGACATCCCACCCCGTGGCCTGAAGATGTCTGCCACCTTTATTGGCAACTCAACCGCCATCCAGGAACTGTTCCGTCGCATCTCTGAACAGTTCACCGGTGAGTTCTATTTTGGCTAAGTTTTAGAGCTTTTTCAAAACTAACAACTTTCTTCTCCCTTTTCAGCCATGTTTCGACGAAAAGCTTTCTTGCACTGGTATACTGGAGAGGGCATGGACGAAATGGAATTTACTGAAGCCGAATCGAACATGAATGATCTGGTGTCGGAGTACCAGCAGTACCAAGAGGCCACCGCTGAAGACGAGGGAGAATTCGAGGAGGAGGAGGAGCCCCCACAGGAGGCTTAAACGCATGTGAGCTAGATAGCAGCTGGCTTTTAGCACCACCACCCAACACCA